GTTACAAAGGTCTCCGAGTAAGGGCAGTTAATAAACACGCTGTATTTGCATAATACTTGAAGGGTTTGGATGCAACTCTTGGAAGTCCGGGAATGGCATGGATCAGGCGAGGCTTTGCAAATGCTGCTTTATCCAGCGCTGGTTGTTGCGATGTAATGAATTGTCATTACAGCAAAGGAGTTGTTTGGGGAAAAGTCTAACTCCCGGCTGAATTTAATTTTCTTGGGGGTTTGTTGGTGTCTGGGGGATTATTTTCCAAGGTACAGCATGTGGGTGATCTGCACCGAACCTCTGTTGACTTCCTCTGGCCTATTGTGAGATGCAACAGTCTGTTTGCTTATTGCATGTTGCAGGATGAGTGCCTCTTGTCATCAGTGATTTCTTCATTTAGTTTTCTCATGGGGTCATGTCTGATCAGTGTAGAATTGTGATTGTTTTAATCTTACCACACATGGTTAAAGCTGCAAGTGTTTCTGTTGTGGCACATAGTCGCCCTTTAGTTAGACTCGCTTATACGTTTTGTGCTCCATGTGCTTGATCCTCCAGTACAAAATTATATGAGGCATTGGAGGGAAATGTTCTGAAATGCTTTTGCGGTGAAAAATATTGTTAATGCTCTGTGCTTTTTATGTGTACACTAGGGCCAAAATGCCTGCAAAATGTTTGCGTGCTTCACTTCCTAAATGTGAGCCGTTCCAGTGAACTTGATGTGATTATTCACATGCATTAAGTTAGGGACAGTCCAGCTGGTTAAGGTTAAACGTGCACTAAGATGTGCTTGTGGAGGTCCTCAGCTATGTACACAGGTCAGTCAGACTCACTGAGGCTTTTGCATGGTTTTAGGGTCGGCTTGTAGAGATTCAGCCACAAGAACAAAGCTAAAGTGCATGCTTTAAATTTATTTTAAGTTTAAAATGCGTCTGTTTTTGGCAAATTGATCTTAGGGTTATGATTTGAAGCTTAAGTTTGCAAAAATCCTGTTGCGTCATATTGAAGTCACTGACACTTTAACCTTGTTAATCCTTGGGACACCTTTTTAATTGTATCCATTAAAATTTCATACCAATGCCTGGGTACGTTTGGGAATGTATAATTTTAAAGTTTGCACCATATAACTAATCACTGTCTAGCAAAATGGTGCTTTCAGTTCATGAATTTAATTTTATGAAGGTTTTGGACAGTACTAGTTATCCTTTACAGTCGTAGCAATGGGACTTACTAAGTTTTTTTTAATGACAAAACAAAAACCTTGAAAAATCAGGTGTAGAAGATGGTGCTGATTTGCTATTGAGGCTGCTTGCTGACTTCTTAAATTATTGAACTCAAGAGCGAACAGTAAACTGTAATTCCTCCCCGCCTTATATAACCTGAAATTTCATTCATGTTATTTAACTGTTCCTCAGCCGCTCTCTCCTTTCCAGAGGAGTCACAAGTAATGCATTATTGTGGTGCACACGTAGAGGAAGCAGAATACTGCTCAAGTTTACAACTTCTATCTTCAGTAGTTTGTTTACTCTCATGCACGATTCAGTGTTAATTGAAAAGGAGTATGATGCTTTGGTCATACATTTGTTATAACAGATTCATACGATTTTGGCTATCTTAGGCTGTAAAATGAGACATGATTTGGAGCAACAAGTCCCTACACAATAGGAATAGGAAAAGCAATGCATAGTGATGCTTTCTTGCTAATGATCTTGAGTAGAGAAATACTGTAATCTGTCATTTTTAAGACCCTGTTAAGCCTTTGTTTAAACGGTAATTGAAAACAATTCTTTTTGTTCTCATCCCACAGTAACACTGGCTGCAGCCAAATAAGATTAGTATTTTTCTCTTAACATAGAAAATATTATGCAATTTGCTGTTAGTGTTTAATTATTTGCCTTTCCTGTCTAAAAATAAGGTAGTGCTCTTTGCCTTGACAATATCATGAGTTTAGCATAGTTTCTTACATGGGTGTACAGTTGGATTAAATTGCTGGATTCTGGTGTTTGTCTACAGTCAGATGCATCTTTTGTCAAGTCTGGTTAGAATACCTATGGTATTTTAATAATGCTCCATTGATATTTGGGTACTGTATGCTGCTATTTATTTACGGTAGCAAACAAATATGTGTGGGTGCCTCTGTCACCTTCCATCAGACTGCTGCACTCTAAAATCCCTCCTTTGTTTTATAAAGTGTGCTAAACTGTTCTTTTGCTATCCTTACCAGAAAAGGACCAAGTGTCCCCCAAATTAGGCATTATGTTATGGGCTAGGGTCACCTAAATTAATTTTGAAGTAGTCTTTTGGTGTGGGCTCTGCGTTAATGTTTTTGGTGGTGTGTCCTGTGGTCAGGAGCTGATAGTGCTGGTTTCAGTGTTCCTGTACAATGCAACAGGCATAGTCTCTTGGTCAGCCAAAGATGGAAAAAAGCGTATGTTGTTGCTGGTGTGTTCCTGGGGCTTAAGGATTGTAACTGGACTTGAAGAATTACAGTCATTGTGAGGAGATAAGCACTCAAATAACTGAACTTTTCGCCATCAGATATTTTCTGATGGTATTAGCACTTCTGTTTTGCTCAGACGAAGCTGTAGAAATCTATCTTTCCACTTTTCTCACATTTTTCAGATAGAACCTGCAATACGTCTGTCACTGACTTCATCTGCTGCAAAAGATAGGTGACAGGATATTATCATATCACACTCTTTGTGTGAACCCCTGGTCACATTATGAGTTTTAGCCCTTTGTCCAATTGGTAGAATGAGGAGGAAACAAAATGGATCTATGGAGACAACAATTTTGTGGCAGTAGAACAGGTGCTCACCAAACATAGCATCCAGCACTGTAATGGTAAATCACTTTATAATGCCTTTTGAGAGGGATAATTGCATCAGGTTTTGTATAGCTGGGGATGTATGCTCCTCCCTGGTGTTGAAAGTTGCCCTTATTACAGCCATGATATTGAAGGTTTCTGAAAGAGTCCATGCTGGAGCATGAATGCACATCTTCTACCCAAAACCAGGACAGCTCTTCTGAGTCGTATTCTTGTTAAAAAGATTCTTGGCAGGAGATAACTGCAGGATCAACATAAAGCCCAAGAAGCATAGCCTCTCCTTTCATTGACTTCATCTCCAAGTTACAGTTTTACAGAAGTGTTTTTCAAAAAATACAGCTCCATGTTTAATTGTGTCTGCTAGATTGCTACCAATAGCAAACATAGTTCCTGATTTGAGCATGAGGTAGGCTTTTGGAGGAAGCTTGCACTTCTTTTAAACCTGTTTTAAGATAGGCAGAATGGTTCATTTTTGAGAAATCTCATCGGACAGCACCTACCACTTTGTTGTTGTCATACTGATATTTTAAAATACCTGCATCTTTTGGATTCTTTTCTGAATTTCTTCACCTTTTATATAGGTGTCTTTTCTTAACCGTGCATGCTTGAGTGGAAGGGAAGAACAGAAGAAAAGATGTAGAGCAGTCAAAGATTCTCAGAGGTGGTGGAGTTGACATGAGAGCACAAGAATGGTTGCACTAGGTCAGACCAAAGCACAGTATTTTAGCATTCTGTCTTTGATGGTGACTAAAAGCAGATGCTAAGAGAGTAACTTAAAAATCAAGTATGTAGCAGTACTTCCCTAAAATATAAGAGCTGCCTTAGCTGCAGCTAGTGTCTTTATTTCTAAAATCTGGAGATTTTTCTTCTATGAGCTTATGGAGCTGTATCTTGAATCCACAAAATTTTAGCCCTTGAAGTGGTCTCCAGCAGGGACTTTGGTAGCACAAGGCCATGTCAGGTGAAAAGCTGCCTCATGTGTGTTTTAAATCTGTGTCTTGCTAGTCTGATTTAATGCCTGATATTGGAAGAGATACAGAACTGTCAGTTCCTATTCAGGTCTCTTTAAGATGCACCACTACTTAAGTGTTGAAATAGTTATCTTTAGTCTTTTGTTCTTTATGTTGGTGGCAGTTCACAGTGCTTTGAAGCTACTGTCATCTGCCCAGAGTAATCTAATTCTTAATTGTAGCCTGAAATGTTTAAAACTGAAAGCTTGATCACTTCTTAAATGGATAATTTTTTGTGTGCAACCATATCTATTTGCCTCTTCAGCTGTTGAATGAATCAGAATTAATGAGAATTCAGAGATAAATAATCTTCACTATGTGCTGGTTCTGATTGTTCCTTTTCCTTTCCACACCTTTTATTCAAATGTCTCCACCACAATTTCTCAGCTGTCATTTTCACTCTACTTGATGTCCATGTTCGTCCTCTTCATATTTTTTGTACATTTCCTCCTTTTTCTCTTTACTGCTTCTGTACTCACACTTGCTCTCCATTTTCCCTTCATTTTACCTAGGTTAGTCTCATAATAAGTACCTATAGTTGTTAGAAACAAAAAGCACTAAAAATTGTGAGTATGGTACTTATCACATGTCTATAGTAATTTGGCTTCTTATTGGCCTTCTTTCTGCTTTTCATTATTGTTGTAAGCTCTTTGAGGTAGGAAATAAATTCTGCTGCAGGTACTATGCCTCATGTAGTGGTTTCTGAATTTTGATTCAATCTTCTGACATCCATTGCAATACTGTTGATGAATTAGTGAGTTTTCCCCCAAAACAGATTTTAAAACTTTTCTAGAGTATGATTCTAGTGACTATCATGAATTAATTGTCACGTTTTTGTGTGTGAAAGCTGTCTTAGAAAATTTCTATCTGTTGTAGGAACAGCAGCAATACTGGTACCAGCAGCACCTGCTTAGCCTGCAGCAAAGGGCAAAAGCCCATGCTCAGGGACAGCAGCAAATTAAAGGTCCAGTAGTGAAGGATGCATCTGAGCAGAGAGCAAAGTCTGAAGAAGGGAAAATGAGTGCTTCAACTCAGCAGTCTGAACCCCCTCCACTTAATGAATCCCTACCTCCAGCTTCCAAAGAAGACGAGTCTTCTCTTACACCCACTGAAACTCAGGTAGGCTTTGTAAAGTGATGCCACTCCATTTGTTGTGCTAGATGGGACAAAGAAACAGGAAAATAATGCCATCAAAATCTCATGTATACTGGGTAACAATAACTAAATATGGTAAAGCAATCTTAAAAGAACATTTTCTAAGGCTGCACCAATTAAAAACATGAAAATGCACTCCTTGTATATAGACTTAGATAGTCACCCACACATGCACCAAGTGAGTCCAAGCTTGACTCACATGTATCTTCTCCAACGTTGTTTTCTTTGTCTATAAGAAACACTTTGTGATACCTAAGTGCAAAAGTACTCGTTAGATAAGGACTGTTATGTTTAAGACACTATTTCTTAATTCCTCTCTGGCAGTTTGGCAATTCTGGCTCCCCTTCTTTCTGTGTGTTATAGTTTGTCTGAAAGCCAGGAACTTTGCACATAATATTTTTGTCAGCATGCGTAATAACAGTTACTACATAATGGATGGAGATCATGATTGATGTTTGAACAGATTACTGTAGGGTAGTAGATTACCCTGCAGCATGTGCTTCACTTTAACTTACAGTATGTGGGTTCCTACCAAGTGGCAAAAAGAATGCGTTCGGAGTTACTTTACCACATCATGAAAAAGCACTATTGTCTCATTACATTTGCTATGAGCAACAGATAACAGATCTGCATTGATCTCTTTCCTGTAGGTAGTTTCTGTATGTATGAATACCCTAACTGCCATCAGCCTAACCTTTAGATCAGATTTTTCACATTAAGAATAAATGAAGTAAAAATCAGCCCTCTAGAAACTGTGGGTGGCTGGAACACTGAAATACAGAGTGATAAAATAACAAACACTGAGAAGTTCCTGTAAACTGAGTAGTAACCAAGTGTGCTTTTCTCCTGATAGAGGGAGCTTTCCTTTATTTATAGTATTTGCCTTTTTCTCTAGCTCAATATTGAACCTCCCGATGACCCTGAGGAAGATTTGAGATTGCAGCAATTGCAAGCAGCAGCAGCTCAATGGCAGCAGCATCCCCAGCACCGGGTTGGATTTCAATATCAGAGAATAATGCAGAAGCATGCCCAACTGCAGCAGATAGTACAGCAGTATCAACAGATCATGCAACAGCCTCCACACTTACAGGTGAAACACTAAGGAGATGGAGTTTGATATACTTCCTGGGTGACCTAGCAGTCATGGTCTGCTGAAAAATTAGTAGTTGAATAATATGTCATGGTTGGCTCATTTGTCTATCTACTTTTTCTGCTTGGGTAGAAGTCTATATCCCCTTTTCCTACTGTCATTCAACTTCAGAATGAAAAAAGAATTGATAGATGGTGATGAAGCTTCAGTAGGATGAGAAATACAAGACTTTACACTTGTCATAAGGTTTTTCAGACATACCTGGATGATACAAGAGCAAAGCTGAACATGATGCTGAATTTACTCAGCTTTGAAAGTCTTACTGCTGGAGAAACTGAAACCTTGAGAAATAGCCACGTGCTGTACATATTGAAAGCATGAGGATTGATTTGGGCTTTAGCCATTGCTAGCATCCAGTAATAATACAGGTCAAGGCCCTTTGATTATATCTTTCTTTGTCTGTCCTGTTTTAAAAAAAAGAAAAAAAAAAGGCTTTTGTAAATATAATATAATGTCCTCTAGTTATAAAATGTCTAAGTTGCCAGAATGACTTCAGACATCACAGTTGGTGTTTGCTTTTGTTTCAGTATAGTAGTTCTTCAAGCTTCTGCCCAAGTCAGAAATTGTGATATTACAAGTGATACTGAAATATGTGGCTCTGAAAATAACTAAGGTGGTATTTTGAAGCTATTCTTGTCTTCTCATTGCAGACAATGTCAGTGGACATGCAGCTGCGACATTATGAGGCACAGCAAAAACAGTTCCAGCAGCTTCATAAAGATTGGGAACGATCAATGAACCAACAGTGGCAGCATCAGCTTCAAACCTACCCTCACAAAGACCAGCTTCAAGAGTATGAGAAACAGTGGAAAGCATGGGATGAACAGATGAAGGTCACTCAGTCCCATTTGCAAGAGAAAGTGAGCTCACTCCAAAATCTAAAGAATCAGTATCCTGCAAATGTTTCGCTGCCACCTCCATTTGTTCCATATTCTCAAACCACTCAAGGTGGCATTCCTATTATGCCTCCAACTTTACCTTCAACTACACCTCCGCTGGTCCCTCCGCCTCTCTCTTCTGTTTCTCAGTTATCCAATTCCTCTGTCCCTTCAGGATCCAGTTCTCAAAGCAGTCAATCTACTGAGACACCAAGGCCAGCTCTGCTTCCCACCCCTGGTACCTATGCATCAAAAATAGCTAGTTCAACTGTCTATTCACCTTATCATTCTCAAGTAAGTTCATCCTTTGGCTCTTCAGACCACGGAAAGTCTCAAGTTCATCTTAGTAAACAAACTGTCTCTATTTCATCTGAGCAAGGATGTGGGGAACTGAAAGCCACTTCTGCAGCATCTTCAACACACGTATCTACCATGCAGGATAAACCAGTGAGGTCGGGTGGATTGCTTCCAGATCCTCCCAGATCAGCACGTTTTGAAGGCCCCAGAGGCCCCAGGTAAGGATGTTTTTGTTGATTTATACATGTTCCAGGCTACAGGACTTTCAGAAATGAAACACATCTTACTCTCAAATCTTCCTGAGATCATGTGAAGTGTGCTTGTTTGGTGGAGGTTTTGTTTTTAATGTATGCACACCATACTCTGCATTTATCTCATTAAAGCAAAGATAGATGCCTTTCATCTGAGCATTATCCAGAATAGGAGTAGAATGGTTTGTTTTCTAACAAAATGTGTGGCCACACTGCACCCTTTTCATTCCAGAGACATAATGCCCATTTTGTGAAAAGGGGAAAGCTGTGTAAATATTTGATATATCTTTGCTGTCCTTAGTTGGAAGATGATAACTCACTTGAAAGAGTAATCCTGTCTGAAAAGTAATCTAAATTCCCAGCATTCTGTCAGTGGTACTTGGAACGCCGTTCAGGAAAATCTAAAACAGAAATGTTGAAGGATTGTTTTTAAGGTGTTGCTATATATGGTAGCACTTTAATGTAGGCATTCTGAAAGGGATTCAGAAAAGTATTCAGATATATATTCAGTTGAATATATACTAACATAGCTATTTACTAGAAATTTAGATGCTGTTTATTTTTTAGAAACAATAAAAAGTAGTCTTTGTTTGTAATCCAACATTTATTGCAGAAAGAAATGAAAATTCAAAGCTGTTCACCAGTATTTTAACTTCTAGTGTGACAGAGTTCTGCAGCTATATGATTGTCGTATTCACTGCGCTTTTCAAAATGGCTGTTTGATAAGAGAGGCAGTGCTTGTCTTAAGTACAAATCAATGATTTTCTACACGTGTAGCATTCCTTAGCATTCAAAGAATTATAAACAAGAAAGAGAAGGAAAGAAATTAAGATTTGAGCCTTAGGATCATACCATTAGGATTCTTTGCCACTTTTTCTTTTGCATTACATCATTATGGTCTTGGTTTTGAAGGTGGCTGTCTTTATCTTTTGGTAAGATACAGTTTTGTTCAAATTTAAATCTGCATTTTATCGGGTGGATGGCCTGCTGCCTTAATGTAAAGATACTCTAAAAGCCAGTGTTCTGTGTCTTTTATGTGGTTTTATACCTGCTATATGGTTTAATCCAAGATCTTGTTTTTGGAACATTTTTCTTTCATACTTGACATGGTATCAGGTTGCAAAAACAACGTCTGTTCTGTCTGGTCATTAGTTCAAGATGGCTTGATGTGATCCCTACTGAATCAAAGAACAGTGTTGTTCTGTTCAGTTGTTTCTATCCTTGCATACTCTGCTGGACTTTACAATCATATCTTCATGTTTCCCTTCTCTTTGCTTCCAAAGTGATCATTGATGAATAATAATTCATGAACTGCTAGCAATATAAATGAATTTTTTATAACTTTGAATAATTGTCTACCTCCAGATGGTTTTTAAGAAGTGTTGTTTCTGGTCCTGGGAATTTGTTGGATGTACAGTTCTGAACAGACTGTTTTCATGATTTGCTAGTGCGTGTCTTTTATGTGCATTGGTTTAGAGCTCAGTGATGTGCAATGATAGGCTATGGATGATCAAAAATTTCTAGAATGCACATACAGGAGCTATGGTTTTGAACATACAGTATTTAATTAACGCTGTAACCTTTGTGCGTTTCTGTATTGTGATTGCATGACTATTCTAAGGTTTTATCAAAGCTTTCCCAAAAATCTGTTTACTGTTTCTTCTCAGTATAGTTAGTAGAAAAGAGAGTCCTAATAAATTTTTAACTGAACTTGGGATAAATTAAAAATGTTGTTTGTTACCTGCTGCCATCCCAGCTAAAAAGTCCCAGGTAATGAATAGACATGTAAAAAGACACACACACTTTTCACCTCTCTTCAGCAATTAACTTTTCTCAAGAAACTCTAAAGAACTGGCTTAAACAAATTTTCAGAATTTTGGGGATGAAGTGTGCCTTATGGTATCCAACCTTCTAGCTATACCTTCCATGTAGAAGTTGATCCTTCAAATCTAAGCTATCGTGCCACTGCGCTTTGTAATTTCTTCGTTTTTTTCTCATCCTGTTCATCTTGACCTCTTCTTACCCCCAAAAAAGGCATTTTACTGTGTTGACTTACCAGGATTTTTAAAATTCTTTGAGGTTGTATAAATGATCTTGTTTGGTAAATTGCTCACTGAAACAGTAAATTCTGCAGCAAGTCAACCGCTTTTGGTAACTAGGCAGTAATGAATTAATACACATAGAATCATAGAGTAGTTTGAGTTGGAAGGGGCTTCTAAAGGCCATCTAGTCCAAACCCCTTGCAATGACCAGGGACATCTTCAACTAGATCAGGTTGCTCAGAGCCCTGTCAAACTTGACCTTGATTGTTTCTAGGGATGGGGCATCTACCATTGCTCTGGGCAACCTGTGCCAGTGTTTCACCACCCTCATTATAAAAAATTCCTTGCTTATATCTAGCCTAAATCTACCCTCTTTTTGTTTAAAAACCGTTACCTCTTCTCCTATTGCAATAGGCCCTGCTAAAAAGGTTGTCCCCTTCTTTCTTATAAGCCCCCTTTAAGTATTGAAAGGCTGCAATAAGGTCTCCCTGGGCCTTCTCTTCTCCAGGCTGAAGAACCCCAATTCTCTCAGCCTTTCTTCATAGGAAAGGTGTTCCATTCATCTGATCATTCTTGTGGCCCTCTTCTGGACCCGCTCCAACAGGTCCATGTCTTTCCTGTGCTGAGAGCTCCAGAGCTGGAGTAGAGGGGCAGAATCCCCTCCCTCAACCTGCTGACCATGCTTTTTTTGATGCAGCCCAGGATATGATTGGCCTTCTGGGCTGTGAGCACACATTGCCAGCTCATGTCCAGCTTTTCATCCACCAATGCCCCCAAGTCCTTCTCAGCAGGGTTGCTCTTAATCCCTTCATCCCCCAGTTTGTACTAATACTGGGGGTTGCCCTGACCCAGGTGCAGGAGCCTGCACTTGACCTTGCTGAACTTCAGGAGGTTCACATGGGCCCACTTCTCGAGCTTGTCCAGGCCCCTCTGGATGGCATCCTGTCCCTCAGGCATGTCAACCACACCACTCAGCTTGCTGTCATATGCAAAGTTGCTGAGGGTGCACTCAATCCCACTGTCCATGTCATTGATGAAGATACTGAACAGTACTGGTCCCAGTATGGACCCCTAAGGGACACCACTTGTCACTGATCTGCCATTTACCATTACCCTCTGGGTGCAACCATCCAGCCAGTTCCTCATCCACCAAACAGTCCCATACATCAAATCCATCTCTCTCCAATTTAGAGAGAAGGATGTTGTGGGGGACCATGTCAAAGACCTTATAGAAGTCCAGATAGATGACATCGGTTGCTTTTCCCTTGTCTACCAATACAGTCACTCCATCACAGAAGGCCACTAGGTTGGTCAGGCAGGACTTGGCCTTGGTGGAGCCATGCTGGCTGTCTCTAATCACTTCTTTGTCCTCCATGTGCCTTAGTATAGCTTCTAGGAGGATCTGTTCCATGATCTTCCCAGGCACAGAGGAAACACTGACAGGTCGGTAGTTTCCAGGGTGCTCCTTTCTACCCTTTTTAAAAATGGGTGCAGTGTTTCCCTTTTTGCAGTCACCAGGGACTTCACCTGACTGCCACGACTTTTCAAATATTATGGAGTGTGGCTAGGCAATTACATCAGCCAATTCCCTCAGGACTCTGGGATACATCTCGTCAGGTCCCACAGACTATATATGTTCAAATTCTTCAGGTGGTCATGAACCCGATCTTCTCTTACACTGGGAGGGACTTTGCTCACCGAGTCCCTGTCTTTCAGTCCATCCACTCGAGAGGTGTGGGAAGACACCCTGCTAGTGAAAACTGAGGCAAAGAAGTTGTTGAGTACCTCAGCCTTCTCCTTGTCCATTGTTACCAGTTTACCAGTTGAGGTCACTGGGGTCGGGGGCTACACTTTCTTTGACCTTCCTTTTCTGCCTGACATACCAATAGAAGCCCTTCTTACTACTCTGTGTCCTTTGCCATGTTCAGCTCTAGCTGCGCTTTGGCCTTCCTGACCACAGCCAGTGAGACGCAACTGTGAATCCCAAACATCCAAGCCACTTGACTTCAGATATGAGTTCTCAATTTTTATTTAAAATGAATTTGATTTGTTCTAGTCTATTATGTAAATCAGTATTTGAGCACATGCTTAAGGATTGGATTTTTTACTAGATCAGCCTTGTTAAATATGATTGCATGAATTATTCTTCATTAGTTTGCCTGACCTATTTCCTCATATTCAAGCGATAACAGTTGTAGGTGCCCTTAAAAGGAATTAAAAAACCTATGCAATAAAAATATATTTGTTTCAGGTATATTATCTTGCATGGAACTGGGTGATATCACAGTTTATTGCACTTTCTGAAAGGTTCCGTATTTAAAGATTTTTCTAGATGGCGTTCATCGCCATAGTTAAGTAGGCTTGTTGCATACTATTAAAAGTTCAAAAAGAATTGTTGATTGCAACAAAACTTCCATTAAACAAAAGTTGAAAGGTTTTTTTCAAATTAGATTGCCAGCTTTCTTTGTCAGTCAGTTTTCAGTCCTGAGATATTTAAGCCAAATTTCCTTTTAGGGTTACATAATCTGCAAGCGGCTTAAACAGGTCTTCAATGGACAACATTGAATTGAAGAACATGTCTCTCTGCTTCTGCACTGGTTTGGTAGGGATTGATCTGAAGCCATGCTAGGATTCATGACTTAGAAGTGACTTTTGGGGGAGGATGAAACTCTTGAGTATTTTAATTTGACATTCATTTCAATGAAATTGCCATAATGTCATCTATAGATTTGATGGACCTCGAGGAAGAGGATATGACAAATTTGAAGGCTCAAGGCAGCGAGGGCCTCGTTTTGACTCCCAGCGCTCAGAAGGATACAGGTCGCGTTTTGACCGACAGAATACAGATGGACAGTCTTCAAGTAGATGGGGGACTATCCCACGAGGACCAGCAGCACAATTTTATACTTCGACAAATGCATCACATGGACATGGTTCCCGACCTAGTGGTCCACGGTGGAGGGGGCCCAGGCCTCATTTGGGACAGCAGCAGCAGCAGCAGCAGTCACAGACAGACTTACAGTCAGAAAACAAAGAACCTTTTACAGATGTAGCTGGCAATCAGCAGGCTGTGAGCAGAACACAGTCTACTCCCGATGCACAGAGTGCAGGTTCCATTGAGCCAAATGAGGACCTGACAAACACTCAACAGGAACAATCCAAACCTGAAGTCAAAGAAACTATTTCAGACCCTCCTAAAAAGTGGACATGGAGTTCACATGATCCTAATGAGCAAGTGGAAGAGTCCAAAGCACCTACTCCGCCTATTCAGAACCAGAAATCAACACCCCTTTCTAGTAACACTGTAGCTTTGCAGTCAGGTGTTGCAAGAACAGGTGGTGCGGTAACCCCTGTAACAGGAAATCAGGATTTGGATTCGCCAGACGGCCAGTTGATTGCTTCAGATAGCACCCAGGGCCTACCTGGACCAGAAAGCAGAGGGAAAGGACCATTTATGCATGAAGATAGAGGCAAGGGACCAGTAAGCAGAGGAAGAGGTCAGGGCAGACTGGATGATGGCCGTGGCAGAGGGCAGGGAGATGGCCGTGGCTGGGGAATGGGCCGTGGTAGGGGGATGGGAAGGATGGATGGTGGCCGAGGGATGGGAAGGATGGATGGTGGCCGAGGGATGGGAAGGATGGATGGTGGTTGGGGAATGGGTAGGATGGACGATGGCCATGGCCGGGGAATGGGCAGGATGGATGATGGCCGTGGTAGAGGATATGTATACAGAGGCAGAGGGCAGGCTAGGCAGGCATCCATCCGTGGCAGGGGGATGTTCAGGAGAGCAGGCAGCAGGGAGAGGATGCCAGACAGGCGGTCGGGCAGCAGGGAGAGGATGCCAGATGGGAGGTCTGGCAGCCGAGAGCGGGGACTGGGTGGACGGTCAGATAGCCATGAGAGGGTATTCTCTAGCCGAGACAGAGAGCTAGCTGGGCGGACTGGCAGCCGGGACAGGGGACGGGCAGGTAGCCGGGAAAGAGGCCCGGTCAGGCAGGCAGGTAGTCGGGAGAGGGAGCCCATGCGGCGAGCAGGTAGCAGGGAGAGGGAACCCATGCGGCGCGCGGGTAGCCGGGAGAGGGTCCCCATCAGGCGGGCAGGTAGCCGGGAGAGGGTCCCCGTCAGGCAAGCAGGTAGCCACGAGAGGGGCCCAGTCAGGCGGGCAGGTAGCCGGGAGAGGGGTCCCATCAGGAGGGCAGGTAGCCGGGAAAGGGAAGCAGGAAGATCTGAAACAGGCAGTGTAGACAAACCCATTCACCTAGGAGATGACCCTGAAAAATTGCCTCCATACCATCGAGATGAGACACTCAGGGGTTCTTGGGGTCATGAAGATGACAGAATGCAGGAAGAATTTCCTTTAGATAGTCAAGATGATCCTTCTTTGGAGCATGAGCGATTGGATGACTGGGAGAGAGAGCGATACTGGAGAGATCACAACTCTGATTATCAGGATGATGCTGTAGATGCGTATGACAGAGATGACAGGTTGCAATCTCATCATTCATTGCCTCCGTTATCTCCCTTACCACCACTACCTCCTTTATCATCTGATCATGACAGACGAGATTCATGGTGGGATGACTGGAAAAGGCCAAGAGAGAGGGAACTAGAGAGAGATCTAGATAGGACTGGAAGATCCTCAGATATTTATGATCAAGATTTGGACAGAGAATGGGATAGAGATTGGGACATGAGACCTATGGATGACAGAGAAATGGGGAATCGTGACCTGGATATCCCCCCTCTACCACCATTACCGCCTCTTCCACCTCTGGACAGATACCGTGAAGATAGGTGGAGGGAGGATAGGAACAGAGATCATTATGACAGAGACCTCCGAGACAGGGGGGAGCTGAGGATTCGAGAGTATCCAGAGAGATATGACTCATGGCGGGAGAAGCAAGACTACCTTCCTGAAAGAACTGATTGGGAGAGGGAACGGTTGTCAGATAGGTGGTATCCAGATGATGGAGACAGACTGCGATCTTTGGATGATCACTCGGATTCTTCCCTTCCTCCACCTTCACATTCCTCTGATATGCTGGGAGCAGATTCAAACCTCGACTCTGACCAGTCCTTGGGAGGAGTGATGGTCCTTAGCCAAAGACAGCATGAGATAATTCTGAAGGCTGCCCAGGAGCTCAAAATGCTTCGGTGAGTTACCTGGTTCTGTCACGGGTGGGAATCCCATTCTGTGGAGATGGTGCTCTTTTCCTCATTAATTCCTTGATTTACGCAGTAATGGTTTCATTTCTTTTTGCCACAGCATGATAGTAGGAGCTTATGTGGAAAAAGTTATTTGGGGTACTTCCATCACAGCTTTTGTGGATGGACTTTTTTTCTTAAAGGTTGTCCCTTTCCCCATGAATATGGCATTACCTGTTTGTTACTTTCCAGGAAGAGATCTGTCTGCATCACCTGACCAATCTGTTGTTATCCCCAAATGAGCTTGTTGATAATTGCTTTTCAGTCTTTTTATTAGTGTCAGATGAGCTCATTGATAATTGCTTTTTAATACTTACCTGTCAAGATGTACATTAATGTGGTTCTTAATTCACACAATGGAACCTATTTAATTTTTGGATACTGCTTACATTTTAAATAAAGCATATGTGGATTTTTTCTTTTTACAATGCTCTCTCATTTGAAATCCAGCATCATTAGCAAATAGTTTTGTCAAGTTTGGTTGATCTTAGTTCTGAGGATCAGCATAACAGCAGTGATAACAATCAGGAGGATATGAATGCAAGAGTTCACCAAGACCATGTTTTAGAAAGCAGCTGCTAGACTCCTTAAGGCTTTAACAGGTGTTTCTTTCAAAATAAGTGATAGAATATACCCTTAAACATCAGAAACACCCTAGGGTTCAGTAAATTTAGTAATATTAGAATGAGTGGAGCACATATCATCTATCTGAACGCTATCTTTGTGATTTGGTGTATGGGTTTAGGTGCATTAAATATATATATTTTTTTTAATGGAAAGATGAGTTTCTTTGACTATTTTCACTGAATGAGATCTTTCAGAGGAGATTGTAGACAAAAGAGGAAGCATTTTAGAGATCGCGGTTCATGTGGTTCATCCTATTCATGAGTTACTGAGAGATAGCTAAGGATTGGTGCTAGTAAAGACAAGTTTAATTTCCTAAACTAGATATTATGCTAAAATAATGGGCAATTAAAATGAATGTTTGGTTACCATTATTACATCTACATTAAACCATGTTGAAAGATACAGAGGCGTTTTGCACTTTTGTTGATGCCATTTTGTTTTCAGACTCATAAGATTGCTAAGCATCTGTCCCTTATGGAAGGCCTTACTTGCACGCCAAAATGCAAGAAAAATAATAAAGGAAGAAGTTTTATTCTGAATAATTTAATCTTTTGCTGCAATTAGGTTAATTCAACAGGTGTTAGCAACTGAGGAATCTGTGTTGTAAAGCAGTATTTGCCAAAAGTTCAGAGCAGCAAGCATAAAAGCATGTCTCAGGGGAAACTTGTGATCAAGAAAGGATGCAGCTCATACACTAAATACCTCCATGGTTAGGTGGATGAAGCAGGGATTTCTGAATCACAGCGTTGACCATGTAAAGCCTGCTGCATCCTTTTCTTCTTTGGACTTGGCCCCTGATACTAGTGTAATATGTGGTTTTCACTGTGAGTGATTTCTTTAATTTTTCATTTAAACTACAGACTGGTAACACTTTCTTGTGATTCATGTGCAGAGAGCAAAAAGAACAGCTACAGAAGTTGAAAGAATTTAAACCTGACATTTCTACACAGGATTCTCCAAGATCACAGAACACGAGCACAAGGCCAGGTGCCTTTCAGGTAAATTCATCTTATGTTAACTTCACAACATGCTGGTAGTAATTACTATTAATGTGTATGTCAGATCAGTTCTACACTCTGATGGTCAAACTCCTCTGTGGAATGCTTCCCCAGCAGCCCGTACAACATCATCAATCTTCTGTTGAGGCAAAGCAACTTCTAAGTTTCTTTAGATTTTCCAAAGCCTTTTCTACTCATTCAGTCCACCATGTCTTCTGAGCATGACCCACTGGAGACAAGTAGCGTATGAGGTTCAACAGCCTAGATTGCTGAGGGATGATGTGCAAGAAGAGGTGAGCTCTTCCAAAACCGGGGCATAAGGCTCATGAAAAGACCCTCCTGTTCCTTGCCTAAATTCTGACATCTTGCTCTGCTTTTCCTACTTCAAGAGCTCTCTCTTCTTTGAAGTTAGAGGAATTTGAGGATAGGTCCATCAGAAACCGAGATATTTCAATGTAGAGTGGGCATTAGCTTTCTGTTTACTTTCTTTATTGTGAAGTCTCATTACCCTCTGGAGTATCATAAAGTGCATGGAAGCTCACCTTTGTGCACCTCCATGACTTCATTTCCTGTTGTGATGCAAGTTATTCCTCTGCTTGCTTAATCTTCTGGATGGTTCTGGGGGACTCTTCTCAGCTGCTTGTATTTGGTTTTTTTGATAATTCATACCTGGTCAGAAACCAACTGAATGCTCATGTTAACTCGGGTTTATAAATCCTTCCTAGAAGGAATGAACAATTTTGTTAAATGTATGTTGGAGAAGATACCTGAGTCAATGCACAATCTTCATTCTTTATCACATCTTAACCCCAAAGTTACAGGTACCAGTAAATTTAGCCTTAATGACCTCTGGGTCTGACATTTAGCCAGATGTCAGACCTGACAACAAAAAAGCTTTGTTTGTCCCTCTCTCTAGAGCAGTGTTATGCAGTGAATGAGGCACTGCAAGTTTTCTTTTTGCCTAGGTGGCTTCTTCCTTGTTTACAGTGTCTATAAAGTAAAATAATCAAACAGATTTGCTACCAAGAACTGCAGGTATGTTGTTGCCTTTAGGAAGTGTCTTTACTGAACTTTGATATTTTGTGTCTCAGACTACTTCACCTATCTGCCTGGAGGTATTCAAACAACTCTTGTCTGTCTTGGGATTCCTGCCTTCAGATTTCTGCTGTGACTTTGAACTGTCGTTACAAAGTTCAGCTTTGTATCTACGACCTTTCTGCAAGTTTTGTTGCATGTTGCTAATCAGGCTGCATGTAACTTGGCATCTGCTGTGATGATGAAAAGACTCTTGTGACACAGCACGTGGGATTCTGTGGGGATGTTTGGTTCACAAAGGGTTTGGTTTGTTTTGTTTTTCCACTGGGCAAGACCTCCCCATTTCTTATGTTGATCTGATGTTGATTTCATTAAGGGATTTCCAGGTGCTTCTGCTCTCTGGGAATTTTTCCAGTGACTTCCAGAAAGAAGCTGGCCTTATCAATCCTTTTGTGCCTCACCAAGCTGCCCTACTTTCAGACTTTTTCAGCCTCCTCACAGACAGCAGGA